CATCATGGTAATCTTAGACCCCTTCCCTAGGGGCTTTCTGGCTATCTCAGGGATTAGGTAGGGTTAGTGAGAACACAGCTATAGGAGAGGGGTGGTCCAACGGGCTTTTAGGACTGTTTTCTTCTCCAACAGTTGAGAAACTTCACAGGAAAACTTTCATCAGCCTACAGCAACAAACAAAACCCCTTCAATTGTTACTGTCGCACTTTTATTTTGAAATAATTACAGACTTATAAGAAGTGCCAGAGACACTACATAAAAGTTCCATGTGGACTTCATACAGTGTCACCAATGGTATCACCACACATAACTACAGTATAACTTCAAATCAAGAAGTTACCTTTGGTGCAACTCACTGGTCCTTTGCAAATTTCAAGTTTTTATAGCCACTTGTGTGTGTGTATGTGTGTTTCTATCCCAATCTGTTACATCTGTATGTTGTAAAGGTTCTCATAAGCACCACTGCGACCAAGACACAGCTCTGTCTCATATCACAAAGGAGCTTCCTGCAATCTTCTTTTATATCTGCCCCACCAGTAACTCCTGGCAACCACCATCTGTTTCCCATCTCCATAATCTTGTAGCTTCAAGAATGTTATTTAAATACAGCCCACAATCTTACAACACTTGTCTGCTTTTCCATTGCACAGTGTTCATAAACTTAGAAAATACGATCCCTATCTGCCAAATAGCAATAATATCAACTATATGCAGACCACTAAACCAAGTTCGTTTTGCCCTTAATACTTGCAATAGCCCTATGAGGCAACTATTAGTAAATTGCACCACTGCTATGCATAAAGTGCTCTTAATGGCTCCCCATTTCATTTGTAGGACCCTTAATCTCATACTATGACTACAGAGCCCACCCCACCAAGGCCCCTTATCTTTGTTCCACTCCATCGCTCACCAGCCCCCCCCCCCTTGCTCCATGGCATTTGGGTGGTCCCCACCTGTCCTTGACCTTCCCTAGTCAAGCTCATTCCTGTGCCCAGGTCCTTGTGACTGCTGGTCCTTCCTCAAATCCTTCCATGACCTTTCATTGTCTCAAGGTCTCAACTCAGATTTTATTCTTTTAGACACATTCTTCTTATACACACAATGTAAAATATGAAACAAACAAACCAGACTATCCTCACCCAAACCCCTCCACATGAAACTGCCAGGTGTACCAAGTAAAAACTGTAAGAACAATCAATAAAATCGGATGTCGGATGAACACTTTCTTTTTTGTTTTTTGTTTTAATTTTATTTAAAGAAAGACTAAACAAAACAGAAAAGGTAGAAATAACATATGTTCAGAGAAAAAAATAAACAGTAAGAAATCACTAGTTGATGTTTACATATTGTCGTTTTACAAACAGTTGTTCAAGATACAAAAATGGAACATGTAAAGTGGGAATTCAAACACCGAGACCGCAAACAGTTCTGTTCAAGTGTCCAACAAAAACTTAGTAACATGGTTGTCAGTCCTACACACTTAAACATACATGAAGTTATCCATAGCTTCATTTTTGTTTAAACAAACTAAAGCAGGTTAAAATCATTTTGAACACAGAAAAATAATATTGCTGGGTTTCACATCATGACATTCCAGGATCCGCACTGAGTACTTTAGTGTCTTTTTAAAAAAATTTAGTTAAAAAAGACTAAACAGAAAATGGGTAGAATTAATACATAATTTCAAATAAAAAATAAATAGTGATAAATCACTAGTTGATGATTACAGATTGTCTGCTTATAAATAGTTATTCAAGACACTAAAGTGGAGCTTATAAAGTGGGGATTCAAACAGTGAGACTGCAACCAGTTCTGTTCAACTATCCAACAAAAACTTAGAAATATGGTTATCAATCCTATACACTTTAACATACATGTAGTTATACATATCTTCAATTATGTTGAGATTGAATAAAACCAAGCAGGTTAATATCACTCTGAACAAAGAATAATACTATTGCTGGGTTTCACATTATGACACTCCAGGATCAGCACTGGGTATTTTAGTGTCTCTTTTTCTTCAAAGTATCTGTTCATTTCATCATGTGTCATAAGATCAGTTCTCATAAACTGTTTATACATTCTGCACATGCATGAGTCTTAACATGTATTTCTATCCTTTCTATATTAGAGGGAGAAACAAAACAAAGCAAGGCAAAATAAAACATATTCCTATAAACACATGAAATGAAATAAACATATAAGACCATTGTACAAAGAGTACTACCTTGGTTCCTGTGTTGTCTCTTATTATCTCCAACAGAATTGGCTATATCATCAAACATAGTATCATTGAATATATAGTACATAACAGTATTAATAAAAACACAACTTTGTATATAATATAGAACTTCAAAAACCAGCAGTTATCAAACCAGAATGTGTATTGTGGAGTCTTGTCCTCTTCAGTGTAGTTGCCTATATTCTCAGGCTTGATACTATCAATCCTATCAGTTTTGAATAAAATCTTCTCTGCCTCATTTCTGTTGTGCGCTTTTTTGCCATCAGTTGTCTGCTTATCTTCTTCATCCTGTTTTCTGCTCTATTCATTGAGGGCTCTCTGCCACTGTTCCTGGAATCCTAGTACTTTTCTCTCTCTCTCTAGAATGCCCTGCAGTATTCTCTGTAGACTCGGATCAGTGGTTGTGAATTTCATAAGCTCCTCTTTGTCTTGGAAGCATCTTGTTTCTCCATTAATTTCTAGAGATAGATTAGCATGGTATATCAATCTGGGCTGGAGGTTATTTTCTTTTAGGGTTTGGACTATTTCACTCCAGGCTTTTCTTGACTTAATGGTTTGTGTCGAGAAGTCAGCTGTTATTCTGATAGGCCTTCCTCTATAGGTTATCTGTTTCTTGTTTCTAACAGCTTTTAATATTCTATTCTTATATTGAATATCTGGGATCTTGATTATTATATGCCTGGGTATAGCTCTGCTTTGGTTGTAGGTGGCTGAAGTTCTGTATGCCTCATATATGAGAATATCATTTCCGTTTCCTATGTTTGGGAAGTTTTCCTTAATTATTTCTGTGAATAACCTTTGTAGTTCCTTTGTTTGTACTCCAGCTTCTTCATTTACATTCTTTATTCTCAAGTTATAGATCCTTTTGTCATCTTCTAGCCTTTGTATTGTTATTGCTTGTTTCCTTGTTATTTTTAAAAAGTTTTCCCTTTCATACACCCACACTGCAAAATTGTCCTCCAGTTTGGATAATCTTAGTTTCTTTCAAGCTGATTTGCCATCTTTCCATAAAGTTTTTAATTTCCTGGTAATCTCTTTGAATCTGCTTCATGTGTTCTATATTTTTTTGTATTCTTCATCAAATGGTTTTCTCCTTTGTTTGAGTTCCTCTCTTCTTCCATCTGTGTCTGCTTGAGGGGTATTTAGTATCTCTTTTATTAATTTTCTTATATCTTGCTTTATTTGGCTAAATATTTCACTTTTGAACTCGTATATGAGGTCCCGAATATATCTCTTTATGTCCCCTGGTGCTGTGTCTGATATTGCATGTTTGCTGTTCTCATTCTCCTTTTTATTTAGCTGTCCTGGATCAATGTTCTCAAAGTTGGGACTGAGGGACTTTTTGTTGTTGCTTCCTCTTCCCATCTGTTTTGCTTCTTCCAGGAGGTCCCAGTTTCTTTCTTCGTTGGTTACAATTCTTCTGAAGTGCACTGGCTAGATGACCCTTCACACTGCCCTGTGCTGGTGAGTTACAGACAGGGACAGAGTATGCTGGCCCGTCCCCTCTGGATCAGTCAAGCGCTGTGGCCTGCACTGTATTACTTTGTGCCACCTCCCCTCGGGTCTGTGCAAGCGATGGGGGTAGGGGTCAGGGCAGTTGGTGGGTTTTATAATGTCCTGTTTTTGGCTTGATTTTGCAATACCTAATTGACTGGACAACTATTGTGAAGTTAACGAGATATACCATAGTACCTATTACTACCATCCCAGTATCCTACTGTGAATTCTGTACCAATATCACTGTGTTGTCTCAATTGGCTTTGTTCTGTCTTGTGCTGTTGCATTTTTACTACATTGTGTGGCTTGAGGGTCTCTTCACAGTCCTTCTCCTACAGCCTGTAGCCAGTACAAATCCCAAAAGAAACAAGTTTAATCAGCCAGAAAGACACCTAGCAATGCATTCAGGATCTGGACTTCTGCCTGGATGACCACTTTCAGTGTGTAAATATGTTCCAGGTAATATTTGGGACATACATATACTAATGTATTGTTGCCTATCTGAAATTCAGATTTAATCAGGTGCTCCCATTTTATCTGGCAACCTTTCCTCTCTAGCTGCTCTGTTATGGTACTCTGTTTTATTGTTTCCCTGAGACATTTTTACTGCCAGAAATTCTGTTTATTGTTTGACTCTTTCCTTATGCAACTCAAAGTAGCTCAATGTGGAAGAAACTCTGCTTTTGTTGTTGTTCTTAAGTATTTCCAGTGCCTATCACAGTTCCTGACGCATAGTAGGTGCTCAATAGATAAATATTTGTTGTAAGGATAAGGAAAACAAAACAAAACTTTGTTTTTGTTGCTAACACCTCCATGGCATACTGCTGGCCAGAGGAGAGATTGTACTCAAACTGTGGCGCTTGTAAGTTTAGGAAACTTCCCTTGTTTTCCATATTCAGGGCTGCAGTTGAAGGAGGGCAGGGGCCAGGGTCACCTGCCTTTTCAGGATCTGCTATAAAATCAGAAGACCATGGATGAGTAGAAGTGGGGAGAGATAAAGTCTCAAAGAACTAAAAAGCTTTTTTGCTTTGCCTTGCAACGAAGCAGATGAACCAGGCAAAGAAAAAACGCGCTAGCATGAAAGGAGCACGACTCTGAGTGTCGAATGGGGTCAGAGGCTGTGTGCACCCCTCCCATCTTTATCCACCTCGCACTCCAACTTACAACTTGAGGGGCTGGCTTTTCTGGCAGGCTCTGGAAGCTGCTAGATCCTGATCAGAAACGAAAGTCACCAGGGAAAATGCTAGGGAAGCGCGGGGACCGCTGAATGAAATCAAGACAGAAGAAATCAAACTCCTCTTAGACTCTGGCGCGTGCAACGCGTGTGCAGCGTTAGAATTCCGTGGGGCTCCGTGCTTGATGTGGACGCTCAGAGCCCCAAGGGGACCCACTAGGGACGCACAGTCGCCTGTCTGACGCTGTTCATCTGGCCTCACGCAGAAGCCCGCCCGGAGCGAGCTGCGTGGGCAACAGTGGCCCGATCCCCAGAAGCAAGCTAACTCGGGGCCCTGCCCATTCTACCCTGCTGGCGCGCACCCTCCCACCTAGCAGCTGGAGGATGATCCTGGGGTGCTTCGCGGAGGTTGTGGGTCCCCGCTGCTGTCTACAGCCCAACGCGCCTTGTCGCGTGAGCCACGCGCGCGCCGCGCTGGGAGGCGGCCGCTCCCGCCGCTGACAGGTGCTGCCCGAGGGCGCAAGGCGCGGTACCGGGTCCCCGAGGCCAGGGCGTGCGCGTCCTGCAGCTCGGAGCCCGGGCACGGCCTGAGGGACGCCAAGAGCCTGTAGCTGCAGAGCTCGGAGCCGGAAACTTTGCAGGCGCGGCGGCGGGGATCCGGTGACCGCGCCGGCCCAGCCCAGAGGTGTGGAGGAAGGGACGGCGCCAGAGTCCCGCGGCAAGGGTGCCTCGGAGGAGGCGGCGGCGTCTCTGCTCCCCGCTGGCCTGAAGCCGCCGGGCGCTCCTGGCTTGGGCTGCTGCTGTGCCCTGCGCCGCCGCCACCGCCGCGGGGCTCCGAGAGGAGGAGCAGCCGGTGAGGGCGGAGAAGCTCGGGACGCAGGAGGAGACGGAGGAGGAGGAGGAGGAGGGGAGCGGTGGGGCGCGGAGCGGAGGATGGAGCCCCGGGCACCCCCGGCGGGCGAGCCCGAGCCTGCGGCCGCCTCCTCCTCCTTCCACGCCCGGCTCTGGAAGAACCTACAGCTGGGGGTGGGCAAGGGCAAGGGCGGCGCGGGTGGGCGCGCGGGGGGCCCAGAGCGCCGCACTGCGGACACCCCGTCGCCTTCCCCGCCGCCCCCTGGGGCCACGCGGGACGCGCTGCCCGGCGTGGGGAGCTCAGGTAGCAAGTGGAGCGGCTTTAAGAAGCGGAAGCAAGTACTGGACAGGGTCTTCTCGTCTTCCCAGCCCAACCTGTGCTGCTCCTCGCCGGAGCCTCTGGAGCCCGGCGGCGCGGGCCGAGTGGAGCAGGGGTCCGCGCTCCGCCGCCGGATCCGGGAGCATCTGCTGCCCACGGCCAGGGGACACGCGGCGGCAGCCGGAGCAGCGGCAGGGACGCCTCCTGGCGGGCGCTCCCCAGACTCGGCTCCGTCCTCGTCCTCCGCCTCGTCCTCTCTGTCCTCGTCTCCCCAGCCGCCCCCGAGGGGGGACCGCGTCGGAGATGAGGGTGCGTCGCGTCGGGGTCCAGGGGCACACTTGTGCCACCAGAAGAGCTCCTCTCTGCCGGGCACCGCGTGCCTGGAGCAGCTGCTGGAGCCGCCCCCGCCCCCCGCAGAGCCGGCCCGGAGCCCCGCGGAGCCCCTGACCCCCGAGACCACCGAGGAGCGCGACAGCAGCCAGGTGAGTGCGGGGCGCGGCAGGGCCTGGCGCGCGGGCCACGCCTCAAGTCCCGGGCCACCACTTCTTAGGGAGTCGGCTTTCCAGTGTTTTCCTCCAAGTGGATTAAACAGTGCTGGCTCTTCTTTAGTAAAGGTAGCATTCTAATTGGCACCCTTACTTTTAAGGAGAATGACACCTGTCGCCAGAACCCAAAGGCAGCTTAAAGACCAGACAATGAAGAAAGAGATACAGGGCTGGGGGGTATTTCGGGGTGGGAAGACGGAGGCAAAGCTCTGCTGAGTCTCACCTTGGCACTGGAAAAAGGTCCGGAGCTTAACAATTTAGGAAAAGAATGGCGCCGCGTGCGTGGCGGTGTGGAGGGGCCACCGTTGCTGAAAGCGCCCGGTGGCAGGAAGGAGTCCGAATGCCCAGCGGGGAGGTGGCTGCTGCACGTGAGGTCGAGTACGGGGAGAGCCCTGAGGCAGGAGCCAAGGCACTTCCCGCATTCCTTTACAACGTCCTGCAGCAGGTGGGTCAGGGTCCCACAAGTGGACAGCGTGAGAGTCCTCCCACTCTAAGTTTTAACAGTCACCGGGGGCACTGGGTTTCAAAATGTGCTGCTTTGTACTTCATGCCGACACTATTCAGACAAGAATGAAGTTTTTAATGTGCTTTTATAAAACATTTTATTGTAGGATCTGTAGGGCATCCCATCCATGATTGGCTGATTTTACTCCCTCCGTTTTGAAGAGGAAATGCTTTTTTTTGCTAAATGTTTATCAAACCATGTGAATGCTAAGAAGTATTTCAAAAGTCCTGCTCTGCTAGGTATCTAAATAACTTTTTTCACAATACACCTCAGCTTATTTAAACTCTCATTCTTTTGACTCTGATTATGTTAGACGAGTGACATACACATTAAAACTTTAATTAGATTAAAAGCTGAGCTATAAAAGCTGAAGGTATAAAAAAAATTAGACCATGAGTTGAGGTGTAAAATTCTATTCTAAAAGTTCTTTCAGTGGGTGGGGGTTTAGCGGCATAAGCGCCTGCTTTGCAACCAGGCAGTCCTGAGTTCGATCCCTGGTACCAATTTAAAAAAAAAAAAAAAAAAAAAAAAAAAAAAAAAAAAGCTCTTTTAGGTGAAATCTTTATAGACTATTTTATTAGTGAAGTTTCTGAAAATAAATCAGAAAACTGTATATTTTATTGCTTAATATGGGCAATTGCTTGCAGTAAGCAAATACTTGATGTTCCAGGAAAATATTTTACTCCAGAAGAGTAGGTAGAGAAATGTGGACCGAAAACTAAATAAATTTATTTGTCCTGTTATCTTGGAAGTGAACTGGGTAGAAATGGTTTTGGTTTCAAAAGTAAAATAAAAGGGAAAGTTTCTCATTCAGCATACATGCATACTATATACAAGGAGACATTTTTTGAGTGTGTATATAATCTTTATAATCTAATTTTAGAGTTGGGGGACTGTTTTTACATTTTGTTTTTTATAATTTAATATCAAGGATATCAGAACACTAAATAATAATCAGATCATTTTGGAAGGTGTATAGCTCACTACTGTGAAAGTTAATAGCACCCTAAGTCATTTTCAGCTCTTTGCAAATAAGACGTTTTCTTATTTTGTGGCTCATTGAAATAAGATATTTTCAAAGCAAAAATAAAGAATTCTGAATTCATCCTCATATCCCCTTTTACCCAAAAGTTTTCAAAAACTACCAATTTTTATTTTTAAAAGTATTTTTTATGTAAGTATGAATTTTGTATACAAAATACCTGACCCTAACTTTGAGGAAATACTAACCTGACACTGAGTACCTGCTCCATAGGCTGGCCACTCTTTTCCCTTACGTAATTTAATTCTCACTGCAGTTCTCTGTGATAGAGATTGTTGTCACTTATGGATTAGGAATCCAATGGCCAAAGTAGTTAAGTAAGCTTCCCAGGGTTAATTGGTTAATAAGTGTCAGAGAGATATTTGTGGTCACATCAGTCTTCAGAATCGTTTTCCGTGATTATAGCTGCCTTTGACAACTATTAAAACTTAAGGCTTTGAGATAATTTTGCTCTTACTGATTGATACGTATTAAAGACTTGCAAGTTTGCATTCATCTTGGCTTTCCCCCTCCCTACACAAATCAGTTTCATGATGGATTAGTATATTAATTTCTAAATTGTTCTGTGGTGCATCATTGCAAACCAGCACATATAAAAATGATGTTTTTAATCATAATCTGCGTTGTAGTTCTAAAGAAGCTTTTCATTATGATGAACTAGCATTTCAATGTAGACAGGAGGAAAACTTTTTAGAAGTTAAAGCCCAGGTGGGAAATAAATAGGTGAACACTGTAATACAAGCATAAAGAACAGCCAGTCCTAAGGGGTGTGCCTGACGCCAGACAGAGAAACACAGAGTTTGTTCCTAGTGCCTGATGCCTGGGGACTTTGTTTTCTGAATAGTAGAACTTCCTGTGTTCGGAATTACGGGAGGAAAAACTTCTCAATCCTCCACATACTCTTTGCTCTACCCAATGGAGTCCAGCTCACTTCTGACTGGGGGAGAGGAAGAAATAAATGCTCCCAGACTTAGGCTCAGCTTGGCAGTGCCCTGCCCTTTGCACGTGGCAAGGGTTTCCCCTGTTCCTCCATCTCCCCCTTGCTGAGATACCAGAGTATGGGGAGGCGCGTGTAACATACAGACTTGCTTTTGTTTTTGTAGGAGGGCAGCACAGACAGGTGCATAGAAAAGACAGGAAATGCATCTACTTTGTCTTCAGATTAGTTGTGTGCAAACAACTTTCTTTGGAGGCAGGAAGAGAATTCATTGCAAAAGCAGGCAAATTATTCACATTTTTTCGTACCTGCTGGTTGATCCTGGCATCACCCACATGCTGCAGTACATATCTCCACTTTGCAGCCCAGCGTGAGGCCCCAACAACATATGTCCCCATACTCTGACACTGGGTAGAGATGTGAAGCAAAAGCAAAAATGTCATTTTGGACGGTGGAGGAAAGAGATTTGGATGTCACTGATGTACAGTGGTTGAAAGTGAACAAATTGTGCTATCTCCCTCGCCTCTCCTAGCCATCCTCACTGTTAGGTTTTCTTTAGTCAGATATTACCTTTGAAACACACACCTACAAACTTACAGATGCTTTGCTATGGGGTGTGTGCATTATTTGAAATATTCTGCTTGAGAATAAGTAAAAAAGAGAGAGAAAAGAATCCTTGTTCTTCCACTGATTCTGGTTCACGTGTCAGGCCATATTGTCACACCAGATGCATTTCATTTTCTGCAACACAGTTGGGAAAGATGCTCTCTCAATTTGTGTGCATATAAAAAAAATGCCAATTTTATGTATTTTGTCTTGATGAGGTACTAAAATTATCCTTTGCTAGAATCAGAAAGTCAGTATTTTGAGATAAAGAGCGAGGGATGAATATGTTACATTTTTAAGTGTCTTAACAAAAGCATGTAGTGTTTATGAATGTTAAAGTTTTATTGTTTTTCTAAGTACATTTAATCAAAGTTGCTTTCATAGAGGAGAAAAATGTTTTTGAGGAAAGGGTAAATTATTCATTGTATGATAAAAGTGTTTTCAAACATTGTAAGAGCAATATCCATTCATTGAAATTAAGTTCTTAAGACTCCTGAAAGATCAAAAGGGTAAAGTATATTTTTAAAAAAAATAAACCTGTACCTGAAGAACATCTTGCTTTATTAATCATCTGAAATTCTAATTAAAACCTTTAAAAAATCCCCAAGTGATTTCAGTTAATGCTATTTTTCATTTTAATAACCCTTCAACCTACTTAATCTTGGAGAAAGTGCAAATTTACAAACAAAATTTCCAATGTAAGAAACCTAATATTTTAAAAATTAAGTCCCTAAGAGCAATTTTAATTAAATTTGCAAAAACAACAAGGTAGGATACTGATCTAGCATCAGAAATGATACCTTGCAAGTTCAAAACAAGAGAGCGTAGATGAGATCCTGGCACATTTTGGAGAAGGGTGTAAACTGGAGTTTGAGGTGTAATCACTTCTTGAAAAATATGAGAGTCATCAGTTTATTCCAAAGAAAGAGAGCAAGCCAGGAGAGGTTTCATTAGAGTAGACTGTTTCCTTTACCCTTTATTTGCCATTAGCAGATTTGGACAGAGCCAAGAATCTTGTACAAAGGGAAATGTTTTCTAGATGTTGTGAGAGATTGGCTTGAAACATACCAAGTGCTCAATAAACATTTAGCAATCACTGTTGTAGTTGTTAATATTATGGTGCAATACAGTGAAGTTTTGTGACTAACCATTACAAATAAGTAGGAGGCTAAAGAAGTAATAGGGAGCTTTGTAGTCTTTTTCATTTAAGATGTAATTTATTTTATTTGTAATTGTAGCAAGAGTAGCCTGGGATTAACCAGGATAGTACTGGTAGGGTCAGAACTACATTCAGTAATGAAAAAAAATATTGAATGACTTTTAGCAAGTGTTGCATGTATTTTCATGGGAGAATTAGTAACTACTTTGAGGAAGAAAATAGAATTAATAGATTCAGAAACAATAGGACAAACATTCCTTCTTCTGTTTCCTTTTGTCTTATTATTGTCTAGAGTAATGGGTAATTTCATAAAGGCTAATAATGTTTTTGGTACTCTAAGGAAACATATATTGTGGTTTCTTTACTCGTAATGGCTATTAAAACATTTGCCAACCCTAAATTAACAAACAGTAAATAGTATGTCTAGGTAATTTCATAAGCAATGATGAGATCTGCAGATTGAGGTTCATGTATTCTTCATTTGTATCTATTTTATAATATGCAATTAGCTATCTGTTTTAGATTAGAACAATTGTTTTTAAAAATCAGAAGCTCTGTTTTGACATTATTTGCTACTGGAAAAGTTACTAAAATGATATATTTCTGTGTCTTGGAAAACCACATAGCCCAATAGAATATTTTCTTGATAGCTGAGGGTCATTATTTGAATGCCAGATTTGAGGTTTCT